TGAACACTCGATCTTGCTGAAGTCCATACCAACACTCGGTACGGTGAACTGCTACTTCGTATGCGCTGCTCGCCCTATATAGTAATCGGTCGGTCTGATTGAGGCCCCTGGTCTGATTGTGAGTTCATTGCCACACACTTTGCAGTAACAAAAGCGGTACACTTCCAAGGCTTTGACCTACCTACAAGAAATGTGTTCACATCTTAGGTAATCGTACATTGGCGGCTTTAAGGCAAGCTGTACATTCACCACCAAAGACGATCACTGCCATGTATGAGGCGTATGAGCTCAGCGTGCCTTTTTCTCGGCTCAGAAGTGCGCGGGAACGAAGCTATAGTGCACTAATAGCCAGAGGCTGTCTCCATACTTCATCCGCGCTAAGGTATAGCATTTGCGTCGATACCAAAGTTACGCCGCTGAATCAGCACTCGGCAGATAAGAACCAGAAGTGAGAAGACGCATCATGTAGCACGTCTGTAAGGTTAGGCGTGTGGTGGCCGTGTAGCAGCGCGGGCGAAGTATGAAGACGACAACGTGGTATCACTACCCTTCAGTCCCGTTCCCGTGTACTCTTGACCGAAGAAAACGGAACGCTACAGCAGCTGCGGACCACTCGCACATGGCAAGGAGCGGAAGCCAGGGAGGGGAGTGCACAGCTGATCTTCGAAGCCATGTCCCGCGATCAAGTGTTACGGGTAGTCCATAAGTACCCCCCCCCCCGGGTAGAAAAATAAGCAAATAAAAGCAAGAAACACACCCCGATCAGAGCCCCCCCTTAGCAGTGGAGTATGGACAAGTTTGTCGGAAGTCGGACAAGCTCTGCCAACAGGATTCGACGTGCAACCGATTCCCTTCAAATCGCCCTACGACGCTCCGGGCTACGCTATGTACCAGCGATTCCGCTTGTAAGCCGTTGTCTTGCAGAGTGAAAGTAATCGTGGTTGCAATGGTTGCAATAATCACACGTCTCTAGCTTCTTTATCTCGTCGTTTCGAGTGACGGAAGTGGTATGTTGTTGTATGTGGACAACGATAATAAATGCACGGAGTCATTTCGCGACCACTTGATCGCGGGAACTGTTTTTTAATTAACTCGTGAAGTAAAGATGAACTAGATGTATTATTATCCTTGCACACATTGAACACTGTGTACTTTGTTTCCAATGCACATGTTCCAACCCCCCTGCACCCTTTCCATCGAATCCCATGCACGTTTTCCAGATTGGTTCTTCCCTGGACGCATGAGCAAGTTGTCTCTGTGGAAAATGTGTTGGTCGTGCTTCACTGATATTACATTTTCATGACAAATCGACTGACTAGGAACATTTTATTCATATTCTGACATGACATAATGATTATAGCATACACGGCGATGATACCCTGGATAACATTCCATGCACCTGATTTTTTGTTTTTTTTTTTTTTTTTTTTTTTTGTTTTTTTCATGGCTTCCTACATTGGATGATATTGATTTTTTTTTTTTTTTTTTTTTTTTTTTTTTTTTTTTTTTTTTTTTTTTTTTTTTTTTTTTTTTTTTTTTTTTTTTTTTTTTTTTTTTTTTTTTTTTTTTTTTTTTTTTTTATTTTTTTTTGGTTCTAGCTGTTTTTTTGTTACGTATCCATTACAAAATCTCTGGAGTATGTATGTGTCGTACAAGTGTGGGCACTCCTCCAACTGATATTTGCCGTTGATACTCAATTGGGAGTCAAGAAGATTTTCTGAGTTAACCCACCAATTCAAGGCCTTCTAATGTTACGGTTTCCAAGAACATCCAATAGTCTGACCAACGAATAACAAAGATCATATCCATTGAATACTTCCACGACAAATATGATGAATATTAAAACAGTGATTTGTGGCATGTGACTTCAAATGCACGCCTCTACACAAAGAAGGAAGTTTGGGTGAGAGACGCAACACATTCGCAAGCATCGTGCGCACTGAATGTAATGCACCACCAACACACTGTTAAAAGAAACCATTTGTATACCCGCGATCATCGGGAAGAATCAAACCGGAAAACGTGCATCGAAACCAATACACACGGCGTCAAACGCTCAAATTGATTTAAATGGTGAACATAAGTAGGTATATCATTTGCAACTTTCAGGAAACCACTCTAGCGGTATAGCAGGGAACGCCGAGGAAAGTGGAGACCCGTTGCGCAATTCTCATCCCAAAAGCTCCATAAATGTCCTTTTGGAAGCCCGTTCGAATGACATCATCTGACGATTACGAAACAATAAGCAAACTTTTGGTCTTAAATACTAGACAAGGCAAGAGCACATGAAAGGGCCAAACGGCTAGAGAATATTTAGGGCTTTCTTTGAATGTCGCAGAATGGCACTATTTATACGTTGGCGACCGCGTGATACCCATGCGAATCACGCTTTGTAGACCACATGCGGCCGCTTGATCAAACTACGGGTCACGCTCATCATATCCATATATTACCCAAGTGCGTGTTTTTTGGTTCGACTTGCCATATTTGCTCTATCGTTCATTGTTAATATACTCGTAAAAAGGGTGGTCCACAAAACAGTTCAGTATACTGTAGCAAAGATTCCCTAGGGAACACCGTTTTTGGAAAAGGTCTGTTCGTCAATATTTACTGGCAAATACAGACAAAAACAGTGTTGACAATAGCAAAAGCGTAAGATAAGGTATCAAGGAGTTCTACACAGGGCACGACTTGTGTTTTTTATAGAAACATTTGAGACAGAAAAATTTTCGGCATCTAGTGCAACGAGTATTGACCTGCTTGGTTCTTTTCATGGCTACTACGCGTCCCTGCTCTTTTGATGTTGTAGAGTAACATCCGGTACAACGTCTTCTCGTATTGTTCTTAGGGCCAGATACTTCTTCTAGCTCCGGTCTTGCTGCATCGGAATGATCTCGAGCGCAGTCACACTTAGCGTTGAGCAGCGACTCAACCACGTCCATTCTGAAATCATTCAGTCGCACTTTCCCAATTGCATCTTTGTATAGCTTCCAAGCATTCACCACTGCTGTTTGCGTAGAATGGAAGAATATTTTCTTGTACCATTTCGAAGTTTTATGCACAATGTATATGCTGCTATTTGGTCAGAATGATATACGAATGATTTCATCTCGTTGTAGTTCTCTCTTCTGAGACAATCCTAGTAGGGCATCGTCTTTTGAGAAATCACTGAGCACCAAAATGTACATTTCTTTTCTGCTTGTAGCACGGCTGCCCTCTCTGAAACCTCTTTTTTTTGATCTCTTTTGGTACTCCTCTTCTGTTCTTTCTCAAGGTTCTGACAAAATAAGTTCTTGGTCAAACCAACATTCCCGCTAGTGTAACGCTGGAGTAGAAGTAGTCCGTGCAGCGTGTGTGCCCTCCATCAATATATCCTTCCATTAGCTCTAGTACAGAGTCCTTCCCAGCCCACATCCTTACTAATCAAGCGTATTCGTCTTGATCACACAGCTTGAGCAGCTTTATGTCGTGTCTGTGACGTTTCGAACAAATATACTGTAGAAAAATAATCCTTCCTCAAAAACGAAGAGACCGTCTATGCATAAAATTTCCGGTGGAGTACCACTTCGCATACGCCCCGTTGAATAGTTCCAGGAAGTCTATGAATTCGTGTAACCAATCGCTGTATAAAGCAATCCGCAGATGAAAATATTCGAATAACTCTACGGATAGTTTCCTTGTCACAAATATGCCAGCAATCAAAGGAGCACCAAGAACTGGACGCGAACTCCAGTAATCTCGTAGGCTCAGTACTCCATTCCCACTTGCGAGCACAAGCCGATATATATCTTTTTTCATTCGAACTCTTTTCTTGCGACCGTTGGTTCTACTGCCTTCCGTAACGGTCGCTGACCTGAGTAGATCCGTAAGATCGTCATTCACGAAAAATTCGTAGAAATCCTTCGGTTAACAACAGTCATAACCAGATTCGTGAGAACAGGAATGTCCAGCAGTATACTATGGATCATGTGGCTAAACATCGCTAGTCCACTTTCTCTACGCTAGTCCACTTTCTCTGTCATACTCCCACCCCCCCCCCAATCAGATTCGTTTCCACATTCTGCACTAATCCACCCACTGTTTCATCTCCTTCACTTGTTCCTGACAGTTTTTCAT